ATTCAGAAACAGATAAAAAGGGTATGAAAGATGATAATAATATGATTAGTCGGCGAATTTTTTTTCTAACTGATATGGAAGTATCGGCAGCCGATGGTCAAACGTTTTTAAAACATATTCAAAATAATGCACAAAATCATACAATTTGGTCAACAGTTGTTGGTGTTGGTCTTGATTTAGGCACGGAAGTTATTCAATCAGTATCACAAACAATTGGTTGTAATTATTGTAATGTTCGAAATGCTCAAACATTTGATGAATTAATGAATACTGAATTTCATTATACAGTTACACCAATTGGATTTAATATTGAATTATTATTATTAAGTGAACATTATACAATTGAACAAGGATATGGATCACCTGAAGTACATCAATTACAAGATGAAATTAAAACTCGTCAATCAATTAAATTAATAACTGAATTTCCATCGCCAATGAATGATAAAAATGAAGTACGTGGTGGATGTCTTTTATTTAAAATAATTGATATGAAAAAAGATGAAGATAAAGAAAAATTTAAAATAAATACATCATGGGATACAATATCTGGTATAAGACAAATAAATGAACAAGAATTTGAATTTTCAAATGATATTGATTCATTTACACATATTGGTATACGTAAAGCTATTTTACTTATACGTTATACATCATTCATGAAACGTTATTTAAAATTACGTCAAGAATCAGCAACACCTGATATTATTGATGAATATCAATCAATGCGACGACAATATCCACGTTTAGTAGAATATTTTCATAAAGAAATGACTATTATTGATGATAAATCATTAAATGAAGAAGAATATAAACATTTATTGGATATTGCTCAACAAGATGACATACCTTTGAATGAAAATCTTCTTCCACCACCATCAGTTGTAGTTACAACAATAGCTGCGGTTGCAGCTACTACAACTGTTGATTCTACTCTTACAGCAAAAAAGACACTTCCTTCACTTGAAACATTACCTCGTCGAGATTTACAAACTCTAGCAAAACAACATAGTATTAAAGGAAATTTAAAAACAGAAGAACTTGTTCGAAAACTATCTGATGTTATTACTGGTGATACAATACCTGCAGCTACTGCTACTCCTAGTATTGATGTCTGTTCTATTTGTTTAACAAAGAACAGTTCAGTAATTTTATTACCATGTGGTCATAAATGTTTATGTAATGATTGTACGAGCAAACAAGAAGAAGAATTAACTAAATGTCCTATATGTCGACAGGATATTTTACGTGCAACTGTACCAACAGTTAAAAGACAACGTACAAATTAAAGACAAAATTTTATGTTATTTTTTTACATATCTTTAAAAGAAGCTAGTTATTGTAAAAAAATACTGTATAATGTTTTGTTTTCATTCTTTTCTAAATTTGTATTTCAAAAAGTCCAAAAAAAAAAAATTGTGATATTCTTTTTTTTTAATTGAGGTTTTCCAATAAATTTTAACAAAATAAAGAATATAATTAATTTAAATTTATTTGAAAATCTTCATTTTTTGTTCAAGTCAGATTAATTTATTAAGATCTGTATATTATTAATATGTCTACTCTTGATTTAATTGTTCCGATTTATAATATTGATGAAATAAAACATGAAGAAGAAATTTATGCGTTAACAAATATTGTTAATGTTCATCATCGATTTTTTTATAGAGTTTATCTGAACATTCTGATCGTGCTTTATTTCAAACATTAAAAAAAACTCTTTCAGATGCTGTTTGTAGCTGTTTATATTGGACATGCTATTGTCATAAACATACAAAAGTATGTCAGCATATATTAGATAATTATGCATCTATACGTATTGCACATGATGCTATTGAAATATTTTCTCAAATGACAAAATCTGATGATAGTAAAATACTTGGTATCATTTTTATTACCAACATCACCAGATTTTATTATTATTGAATTACGTGATGGATTATTTATACCATCAAAAAGAAAACTATTAAAATTTACTGCTATTGATCGTGAAAGAAATACAAAAAACGCAAGATATTGCCTCTGTTTTTTTTTCAAAATAATAAGAAAAATTTTTTTTTGTTGTATTTATAGACATGACGATGATCGACTACAAAATGCAATGTGTACTGTTGTTATGAAAGAAATGAATTATATATTTAAAGAAGAATATGTTGATACAGAAATTGTTTTATATGAAATAAGATATATCAGGTAGTGGAAAAAAGTTTAATAACAAGATTTTTTTTTCTGTAATATTAAGCAATTGTCTCATATCCAGATAATGATTTTAAACAGCCAATGAGGCTTTCTATCTAATGCATTCTATATCAAGATTTGAACGATAAACTATGATGATGAAGTTTGTAAAAATCGGATGCAATAGTTTTCAGATCCTACAAGCTATTTTTAAACAAGACCATTTTAAAGTGCACAAAACTCAAAACAAAATGTGTAGTCACCGTATTTTCTACGACCTTCTGCTAAAAATTAAAAGTATTGAAAAAATTAAAATTTATCAAAAAATCGCAGAGACCCTATTTTCGGAAAACTAGTAATGCTTTGTCGTTGAAAATTCTTGTTAGAAATAAAATTCTCTATGGAAATCACTGTTTTGAATTCTTCTTAGCTTCGACAAGAGCAGAAAAAAATGGAATTAAGCCTGATCGAATAATTTTGAAAGTCATTGTATATTTTGAAGTCGTTATTTATCTCGTAAGTTTTACTTTTATCAAGATACTTCCAGTTGGTCAAAATGAAAGTCTTATTAAATGTATTGAAAATGCACATTAATTTCTTGAATTTAAAAGAATTAATGAAAATAAATATTGAATATTTAAAAGATATTATTTGTCTCGGTAATGTAAACATTTCGAATTTTTCTCAGTATCATAAAATTAATATTTACGATTTTTTTTTCTCGAAATGTACTTCTATTTATATCGTTTTCATCAATTTGAAATCATTAGTATATCTCACTACTGCTTGATTATTATATGTTTGATGATTTTTCGAACACAGTTTGTTTCTGTTGCAGAAAAAATTTGAATAACTAATGAAATATAGATATTGAACCATTGTTGATCCTGTTGTTTATAGTTCGGCGATTTTGAAAAAGCTAAAACTAAATCAGAACCGTTAAGTCATCAGATAGATACAAAAATTCTTAGATCTATGTTAGTTTTGTTTAATTATTGAAATATACGCCGTCTTTAATCTGAATAATTCAATAGTGGAAATTTGTCAAAATAGATTTAAAATTTTCGTATCTATCTGATGATTAACAGGTTACGATTTCCTATGATATTTTATGAACTGAACCGGAAATCATTTTTTTTTCTCATTTTTTCGTAGCCAGAGCCGTGTTTCCGGTACCGAGTCATTTTTTGAACCATTGAACTATACTCTGATTAGATCTGGGACAGTTGCATATTCTTTTTAATAAAAACACATCGAAATGAATTATTGAGACATATTCATGATTTCAAGTTCATATAATAACAATATGAACTGCAATAAAAATAAGACAAAAAAAATGTCATACACTGTTTTATGACATTGGAAAAATACGAAATTGTTATATTAGAAACAAAATTCTTTAAGAATATAAATTTACAATTTTCATCTTTCAAATAAAAATTATTAAATTAAACTTGATTAATAATATAGTTATATGCATTAAAATAGTAATTATCACTTTCATGACATCTGTATATATCATTTCAATTGTATACATATGTTTTTTTCTTTTCTGTTATAAATTGACTATAACTCTTCCATTATTTTCAATAGTATGAATACATATCAAGTAATTGAATTGTATTCTTCTTTTTGTATAAAAACTATCATCAGGAAGTTTCTTATCGATTCAAAATAATAATATCAAATCGAATGAATAAGTGTCAAAGTTATGATGATAAACTATACAATAGATAATCATATTGGTTTAGACTAACATTTAATGCATAGACTGACTGTTTGTCAATATGAAATAAAAATTTATTCGAATGGATTTAGTTCTCTTTATGTCAATGGTCAACAGTTCGAATCTGTATGAAAGCAATGCATTCTATTCTGTGGTCAACATCATATATGTTGATCTACTGGAAACGGATGCAAAATAAAATATCAAGAAAAGTATCTCACTGAGTTCATCAGTATTTATCTGTGAACTACCAATAACAGTCTTTCCTACAATAAGAATAAATAAATAAATATCTATATAATCTTCTTGATTATTGTATAGTATAACAAAATACATATTCTATTTTCATAGTTACATACTTATGTAATTAGATTTATAATACGAAGTTATTTTTTTTTGTCACTATTTGATGGAAAAGAATTTGTGTATTGATCCACATATTGTATCTTTATTTTTTTTATCTCTGTATCGTAAAGTCACTAATCAATCAATCAAATGTACATATATATAACCATAGGGGAATATTCTCGGTTGGCTTATTCTTATTCTAATCAAATACTAGGACTATTGCAAGACAATGTTGCCTTCGAAGAAAAAAAAAAAGAATTTTTGTCAAGACTCTATATGACTATCGAACGATTATACTGTTCAATGCAGCGAAAATAACATTCAGAACATTTACTTATGGAAGTAGAACGAAGAAAAAAAATAATAACCGATGAATAAGGATAGGAAAGAAAAAGGATCCGATTTCAGTAAAAGTAAGTGACTATTATTATGTAAGCTATCGGACAGAAGATGAGAGAGATAGGAAGATATGTCGTTTGTTTTAATTACTCTTCTTTAGACCCGATCGCGCAATATTTACTTGTCTTTTTTGTTCGCTTGCTCATTAGACGGTCTTTCTTCGTTTTCATAAGCCAACTGGCTCGATCAGTTGCCTTTCGTTTTTTTTCTCTATCACATCGAAGAAGCGTGTGAATTAACACATGTTCTTCTTTTTATTATGTCTATTTCATTTTCAATTCCAGGTAGAATAATATCTTTCAACTAATTTTATTTATTTATATCTGCTATAGTTTAATACATGTAGTAGATGTCAAATAGTGACATCAGCACAACGATGTGTTGGTGGCTATATTTTATGATTATGTCATTTGATTTAATTCGAACACAAAGTCCTATTGGTGGTGGATTTTTAGCTGATCCTTTTCTTGAACTTACAGCAGGCGTAACAACACCTGCTATACCAAAATCAAATAAATCTGAGCCATCATGTTTATCAAATGGAGCTTTAGCTGGCTCAATAATTGGTACATTAATAATGTCTATGTTTATTGGTTTTCTTACATGGTTAATTTATTTACGACCAAAACTTAAAGGTTTTCTTGTCAATTGTTGTTTTTTTTTATTGTTGATTAAAATGTTTTTTGTTTATAATTTTCATTTGATAGAATTAAATTTTATACGTTTACAAGATAAGCAAAAAGTAGCAAATAAACAACATCATCATCATCATCATGCTATGCCTTTGTCTTCAAATTCTAATTATAAACAACAAAGTAGAAGAGAACAGATTGATGATGGTTTGTTTTAGATAAAATATCATTAGTTATATCTAGATTTATTTCCATTATTAGATCATAATGATACTCAATTACCATTGGACGTTACTGATCATAAAGTAAGAATATTTTAGAAGTTTGAGATCTTCTGTTATGTGAAAGACTTGGAATTTTTTCAAAAAGTCTTTTAGAAAAATATCTTTAAGGCTTTAAAAGTCTAGACAATAATATTGACTTCAATTTGTTAAGATTTTTCAGCTTAAAAATATGAAAACTACACATATTTTCATGTAAATATACAAATTAAAGTTCTCGTTTTTGCAAACACTTAATTAATTAAGGAGAGTCTTCTATTACGAGGAAGCATTCAACTTAGATTTTGGTTTGCATCAAGATATGTAATAATTTATAAATTTGAAGGTATTAACCAACTTGATTATGTGGATTCTTTTAGTTTGGTACATTTCCATTTCGTCAATCGCAAACTTCCAGTGTAAATGGTCATTATAATCGAATTGATTGGTTAAATCGTATTTCATCTTCATTTCGTTCAGTCAATATAGATAGAGTTCGTTTTTTTTTTGTTTTTTTTTGAGAAAATTTTTTTCTTCTAAATATGAATTTATAATTATAATAGGATTTCGAAATGATTGATATTGCATTATTAGATCCAACATTTAGTGGTCTTAATTTTAGTATAACTGGAAATATGCGTGCAGGAATATTTGTTAAAGAAATCGTTGATAAAGGAATATTACAAGAATCAATAAAACCAAATTCATCTGAGCAATTAAGAACAGGTTTAGATTTATTTAAGTTCATTTTTTTTTGTTCTTTCTACTGTGATTCTCTTCTTTTGATTAATAGGCGATCGTATCATGGCATTAACTGTATGTTTTGAATCAATTGTTTATGAAGATGCATTAACTATACTTAGTTATGCATCACCATATCCAGTAAAGAAATTATTAACAAAAAAAATATAGAAGATATTTTTATTGTGATTTTATTAGGTTATACTTCGTGTACAACGTCCATCAAATCATACGAAAATCAGTGAAACAATAGAAAAACGACCGACAACAGCAAATACAACAAGCAAAGTCAAATGGCGAGATGATTTCGAACATTATGATAATGACAGTAAAAACAAACGAAGAATTTAAGATATTTTATCAAAAGAAAATATTTTCTATTATATTTAAAGAAAGAAAAAAAAAATCCTCTTGCTCTTTGTCTATCTTTGCAGTATAGAGTTCTGTGTAGTGGCAAATTCATTAACTTGATATCTTTCATAGAACTAATACTGGCTGTAGCTTTCTACATAGTCAACATGCTATCGAATCGGTGATCGAGAAATTTGAAGATAATACCTATTGAATACGTATTGAACAATATAGTTACTTATGAGGGAAGCACTCCAATCTATGAATCGATGTTAAGCCGATACGATGTGTATTATGTAGACCCACATAAACTATGAATACTCTGATGAAAGTTCGTGTTCTTAGCTTATTGCTACCGAGATACTGCACTTCTACAGTATTTATCAAATGATTGCCGTGATCTTTGTCAGGAACACCAGAAAAACTGATTCTCGAAGTTTGACTTGAAACTTTGCATAGAGACAGGCGTTAATAAGAGTAGTCTATTGTAAAGTTTCAAATCTTTTGATCTGCGTCTATCATGAAATAGATAAATTAAATCTGCCGGTTTATATGAACAGTGTAAAAGACATGCGATAACCATATTTATTTCTTAGGATAGAAACAGCGAAATCAGTTTTTCTTGTTCATAATATTCCTTTAAAAAATACCATAGAAGTGTTATATGTTCGCAGCAATAACCTAAGGGCACGAAATTATTTCTGAGCATATGACAGCCATTGACATAAGCATATTCTGAATAGGCAATATTACATATATTTTATCGAACAATATATACATATAGATACTTTGTGAGTCAGTTAAAAAAACCAAATCATTTAATATTTTGTTTTTCGATATGATGAAATTATAAAAGAAAAACTTTTGTATCTGCAGAATAAATTTTTTGTTCTATTTCTTTCTTAGCATCACTGAATCGTTCTTTTGTTCAACCGAATCCATCCATACCCACTAATTGTTTGCCATCGATTCCAATAAATTCAAAAGCTCCTCCATCTCCAAAAAGATCTTCATCATCAAGAAAACCTCGTCCACATGCTAATACACAATCTCGTGTCAATAACAAATCATCATCTTCAACAAATAAAGGTAATAAAATAAAAACATCATCAAATAGTGTTCTGGCAATGTCCGGAGCAACAACAAAACGTTGTAATAATGATATAAAAAAACATCGATCAAAAACAAATAATAATAGTAATAATAATAATAATAATCAGCGTACAATACCTAATCAAATGATAACAACATCAACTGGTTTAACAGCAAAATCATCCACTAACATAACACCACCACCAATACCAACAAACATAAAAACAATAAAATCAGTAACTGAATCGGTTATGTCTTATCTTCATTATAAAGGTGGTGCTGATGAAGAAGTAGAACATCCTAAAGGTAGTCTAATTATGGGAATATATTTATAACGCATGAATATGCATGAAATAATCTTTAATTATTCATTAATATTGTATTTATTCTCTTTCTATTTTTTTTTGTTCTTTAGATATGCCCAATAATGCTGAAGCAACTATGACAGTAATTATCACTCTTTTGTTTAGAAAAAAAAACCTGTTAGCGCATCCATGCGGGATTAAAATGTAAAGCACAATGTAACTGCTGTATACTTATAATAGGAAGATTGTTTTACTATCTATTTTAAGATACATTTCTTCAACCTACTCTTTTACTTAACCCTTCAGAAATGGAATAAGAAAGTAGTTCACATATTATAGTGAGATGCTATGAATATACGGTCTGTGATATGGGGGAAGAGTGCTTGCTAAGCAGGAGCTGAGCTTTCTAGCCCAAAATCTTGACTCCAGTACTGCTGCGAAGATGTTTCTGATTCCATCTGTCATGATTTGTGGACAATTCGAATTTCTATCCTATATACACTTCAGCAGTCCTTTTAGATCGTCTTTCACAAAATTGCAAATTAACTAGTTCTCGTTTTTTTTTGTGTGTGTTTTAGCCATATTATGATTCTCCATATGAGTATTATTATGGTGATCAAACTTCACAATATCAATATCTTCATCAATCACATTTAAATAAAAATAATAATAATTCTTTATCGACTGAATCATTAACAGCTGTAACACCTAATCTAATAAGATCAGTTTATACAATACAATTATTATCAACAAAATTAAATCCTTCAATTCAACGTCGATGTGAACGACGTCTTTCATCACCTGCTATTATAACAACTACAGCAAGTGAAGAGACAATAATGAATGTTAATGAAAATGAAAATTCAATTGATAATATCGACACATTTGTGTGATTCTTTTTTTCTTTTCTTGTTGTTTGTTTTTTTTGCATTTGTTGAGAGAGCAACAATTTTTTGATCAAAACTATTTAATTATATATGATTATCTATTTCAATAGAAGAATAAATATATTCTTCATGTAAGATTATTGAATGATATGATATGATTATGCGATTAGAATTGTAATGTATTTTCAACTAAAGTTAGAATGAGTTTTTCTTTGAAATTTTGAATTACATAAAAAAACTCGAAACTTATATTACAAGTTATTGAAACATTCAAAGCTTTCCTTGTATTTTCTATCGGTTAAGATAAAGTCCTAAATTCGAAATTGTTTCATTCAATCTCTTGAAAACTTTAGGCAATATATCCAAACTGTAATATAAATCATGTATACAACAAAAAGGATTAAAAACAAATAATTCACTAAAATTAATAACTTTTCATTTATACTTTAAATGATATGAGAATAAAAATTCAACTAATTAGTACAAACTATTGTCAGTAATCAAAAATGTAAACACCAAATCACTTTCGACTTGAAACTTTTTAAAATAGATGATAACTTAGCTTGTGACTTGATTTTTCATATCAAGATAAGTGAAAAAGTAAACACCGTATATATATGAACATCTCGTATTTCGCGTGTCTATGACTGTTTTTTTTTTGCCATATTACAAAGTTCAGTGTTACTAGTGTATATGTCCGTGACCGTATACAGACCAATACAATTATATTTGAAGAAAGATGGAGGTTATATATAACCTCCATGTATAAAGATAATAATCCAGATCAAATGAACATAGTCGTAAGTGACCGTTTGCGATGGTTTTTTCTGCCTATTTGCTAGGCTTAGTTGTTAAGATCATTTTTCACTGTATTGTAAACAATAGAATATTCGATTTTCAAACCGTTATTAGTTGTATACGGCATGATAAAATACTGTCGTAACGGTGCATCTACCACACGTCAGTTTTCAGTTATTTACCACCGAAAACTGTATGAAACGACAGTATACAGTACCGTTTTTGGTTGTCTTCTATTTGTTTATTGTCCCTAATGACTACGTCTGTTTGATCTGATTGTAAGTGTCTTATCCACTTCAATTTTTTGTTTTGTTTTTAATGTTAAATCTGTAGTGAAAAAAAAAGTATCAATCAAAAACAATGCCCATGTTGCCCTTTTTTTTTAAGTAACGCCGTTATATCGCCAAAACGGCATAAAGCGGCGCTATTCAGCAGAATACCGTCGCTATCATCGCATTATTAATAGCAGTGCAGCAATATATTGACGTTATAACCACACTAAGCTTTCACGCTGAATAACGCGCAATAGTGCTGAGCGTTAAAGTTTTCAATTTTTCAAGTATAACTGATCAACAAATACGCTGATCTATAGCTAAAGTTCTACGATGATGTTATTAATTATTCAATGTTTTNTTTTTAGAAACATTCCCCTACCCCCCCCAGTCTTTTTGATGAAGATTTGTTTCAAAAGAATCCCGTACCCTCTAGGGAAATTTTTCGAAAAACGTTTTTTTTCAATTTTGAAGAATATTTTTATGGAAGGTAATAGAAGTTCGTATGCTGATTTTTACTAGGTATAATTTATCCTTTTTGAAGAAACTTTTCAGGTACTTTCGAAGTACGCGTTGGTCGGTTTCCTACTGAAAATACGTCATGTTCAAAAGTAATAATCCAATATTCAATATTGCGACTGCTTTTATTTTTTTCAAACTTATCTCATTTTGTAGAGCAAATCACGAGGATTTTTTTAAAAAATAGTCTCCATTTTGTTCACATGGACAATAACAATAAAATCATGTAAACAATTTACCGAAAGTAGCCTAAAAATCATATTTTATGCAGACTATCTGATATTTGTGGATCTTATAGCTCCTAATGGGAACAACTTAAAATTTATAGATTTATATCATTTTGTAGAGCACATTTTGCTGCATCTATTGTTAGTATTTGACGAACTCTGAACCAACCCTTTTAAAAGCAAAAGCACAGGTTTATTAATCACCAGGATATTCGTAAAAGTCGTTAAGGGGTGTTCACAAGATCACTCGCTGGCAGCCCTCTAGTTAAACCTTTCTGCCAAAGTAAATATACGAAAATATGCGCCGAAAAATGGGCTTTCAGAATATATAACTTTCATACAATTCCATATGGTGGCAGATTTTGACTCTTATCCGGTGGGGTCCTTTGACTTTTATTTTTTATACAAAGGTTATTTTTTGGAATAAGTTTTTTTAACATAGACATGAAAAAAATGTTGGCTCTTAAGGGTGACTATTAATTAAAAAGTAGTTAGCGAATATCGCTTTAATCATAAAAAGCTCCCAAAACTTCAGGATACAGATCTACGGCATGAAGTGAGTCTCTGGTGAAATTTTTACCAACATCGAACTTCAAAACCGATTCTCTAGAGATTTTGAAGATGGATTTGAACTTCTCATTTGGTTATAGAAGCATTTGTTCGCATTCCGTCACGTCGCTAACAAAAAGTAAATCGATTGTTTTCGACAACTTTTCTAGAGATTGTACCATTTAATTTTCAAAAATGCTACCTCATTTCGGAGGTTTTTGTTAAATTAAAATAACTGAAGTGAAAGTCGATGTTTTTTAACGCTAGTTTTTCATTGATAATTCCTCTGAACAAAAATCTTTAGTGTTGGTTTTTTCAGTGTATCTAGAATAACTTAACATACATGTAACATATAAAAATTAACTGTAGCAAAGTTCATTATTCCGACATACATATGTTTTAATTGTCGAAGAAAAGCGTTTGTTATTGATTGCAGTTTTAAAAATTCTCGATCGATGTTTCCACATCATGTGTTAAATAAAGATTATAGAACTTTCTATGAACTTGATTGAATCGGTTTTACGAAAGATGATGTTGCATTATTCAGCAATTATCCTATGTATAATCATATGAATTGTCTTGGTTATTTTTTTCGAGATATGAATATAAGTGAATGTTTCTAGTGTCGAATAGAAACTTTCTAATGATTAATATTTTATTATATTGATATTTTATAAAGATAATAGATAGATTTTGTCTGATTTTTTTTCTTCTCTTCATAGTGTATAGATTCATGTTCGTGGTGTAACAACATTTTTATTAAATGCTGTTCGACTCAATTGTACAGGAAATCCAGCTGATATGACATTTGAACATCGATATCGAAATAAATCTATTCTATTTTTATTTATTGATATCGATGGTCAATATATGCAAACACGTTCAACATTAGAAACAAGTTTAAATAATTTATTTATAAATCTTGAACGATTAGCTATACGTGATTTATTATCCTACGGACAAATTTCATATGATACTATATTAACATGAATTCAAAGTAATAATACATTACCAATGCCAGTAAATGTAAGTTTATATATGTTTTAATTATTGAAAAACTATGAAAGATTAGAACTTGTATCTTTGATCAATATTAAATGTTAAACAGATGTGAAAGGAAAAAAATATCGAAACCGCTTTTAATTTGAATCATATTTACAAATGTTCAAGTGAATTTCTTGTCCTAAATATACTCACAAATTAAAATTTTATTGCACATGAGAAGTCTGGGTTAAAGGAAAGATAGATTCGAGAAAATATTGTTGTGAAATTATTAATTTCGTCGAACGACATATCTACTATTTCCCTGACTTTGATTTATCTGAACTATAATAGAAGCAAAATATCCTATTTCATATAGATAAAAGGTTACATCAATACTATCAAGCGCATTATAAATACTTGCTGCATACTATAAATAAACTTTAAAACATCCGAAAAAATTCTTATCAATCAGAAAGTTATTTCAATAGTATTCTTATAAAACATCCTAAGACAAGCTATCACATGAACAAAATATTATAAATATCTCTTAATGCTATATATTCGTATATCCGAAAATGACTTTGTGAAGGTATATATGTTCCCTTCACTGTTTCCCAATTTGTCCTATGACGAAAAGTTTGATTATCTTTATAACAAAAAATATTTTGTTGTAGAGTTTATTCGATCGTTTATTTTCTCGTCATGATCTTGATTTAACATTTTCAGTACAAATTCTAATTGAGCTTTATGTTCGTTGGTTAAAAACGAATACAAATAATTTGTCTTCAATTAAAATATGAATTAATAAGTTCATTTATATATCTTTCTGATTTATTTACATCATCACAACAATTATCAAATTCATATGATTTATCTGATGATTATTTTCGTACATGGTTTGATAAAGATGATTTAATGATATGATTAATAAGTTATGGTTTATGTAAATCTGGTATATTACTTGGACAAACAACAAAACGAATATAATAAGTTATTTATACTTTTAATTGAACCTTATTTTAAATTAATAACTAAAATTCATGCATATGCATCATGTTTATTTTTACTTGAAAGTCATGAAGATGATTTAAATAAATTATTAATACCAATAATAATACAAGAATTAAATAATGATATATAAAATAATACATTAAAATATAATTTAGATATATGTTTAAATGGTTTCATTTAATTGAAAATAATTATTTAAATTCATATGATATTTTATTATCATTAATTAAAGATGATATATTCGATATAAATGATAATTTAATACAAAACAAATTATATAAATTCCTCTTAAAAGACTTTTAATACTTGGTCAATATCTTTAAAAATGATATATGGCGTTTATATAAACGTTCAATAACAATAATACGTCAATAATCATGGTTAAATATTGATCATTTTGTTTTAATACTTGCACGTATTTATAGATTACTACAAGCTCCAAATGAAACTATAAATTCATTAAATAATGAACATGTAAATGAAGAACAAGAAATGATTGATAGTTCATCAATAATATCATCATAGGATAATATTCTTATTGTGTTTGTTGAAGAATAATATGAACGTACTAAACAATCATCAACATTACCATATGAAACTTTACTTCTATTACGACCATTACCATTATTACTTGTACATATTCGTTTATCGGATCGTTCGTTGAATGAATAAAATTGTTTTAGAATTTGCTGCATCAACACAACCATTATATCCTCAAATACTTGCTTATACGTTTTTGGTTGTTTTTCATGCTTTAATTAATGCACATTATTCAGCTAAAGTTAATCCATGAACTTTATTATCAATGACAAGCATTCCACAAAGAAAACCAATACGTATGGCTACATTGGAGATTAACTTATCTTATGTTAAGTTGCATGTCCATCATACACAATTGCTGATACATTGTGAGTATTTACATAAATCATTATACTATTAATGAATATTTAAATTTATTATATTATCCTTACTGGTTATTTTTCATACCTCGTTTTATTAATCTTTAAGGAGATAAAAAGTTTTAAATTGAAACATTATATTGATTTTATGAGTTTTTCTGGATTGTCGCTATGACTGAATGGTTAAAATGTTCGATACATATCCACAAGTTAGTGTGCTCGAACCTCGGCGCCATCAGACATAGAATAACCTTAGACAATTTACTAACGGCTATTTGTCTCGGACCACCCATCCGATAGCACGCTGATTACGTGTGACATACAAAAACAGTCCTTGTGACTAGTATGTGGTTAGTCAGTATGTATGGGAAACTTAAGTGATTAAGCGGGGAGAACTCTGAGTCAGGCTGGTCTTCTGTCCAGAGCTACAGCTGGTAATAGTTGTAAGAAAAGCATCGAGCTTTCGAAACTGTCTTCGGGCAGCACCCTATACTGAAAGGTAGCTAAAAGGCAAGGGTATTCTTCTTCTTTCTTTTCTGAATTTGTCATTATGAGTAAGATAGAGTGAATTCCTATTGAGCTGTTAGATGAGCTCTTTTTCTTTACGTATGGTGAAATGTTCTTCCTAGTTTTCTTTTAAAAAGTGACATAGACTTGCACGTACAATTAAACTTAATTTGAAAAAGATAAATAGTAAGACATTAATGAAAAGAAAATATTTGTTGCAACCCGAAGGAATAACGATAAAGTTAAACAGTATGACTTATCGCAGATATTTTTTGAAGTGTGGTTTACGTTTCTAAGTCATTGACTAGGGTTCAATTTTATCGTGTATTTTTTCATGCTCGAGTGTCATGAACTCACTTATTATACTTAATGATGCATGATAGCCATGCCCAGCATTGTCAAAAATCAACAGCAAAATGTCCAAGACTTAAAAAAGAAAAATTTTTAGAAAAAAAACGTTATTTTCATCAGTGAGGGTACATAAAAACTTATGTAAGGTCCTTAAATCTCATAATAAAATCAATAAATTATCGTGCAGTCGAAAGTGGACACTTTGTTGTATTTAATGAGCTATAAATCACAAAAATAATAAATTTCACCAAAGTTGATTTTTTTCTCAGGGAATCCTGAAGAGAGTATCTCAAGAAATACATGTGTGCTAAACTTTTTATTACCATATGAAATGTCTCGGCATAAGTCTAATTTACGTAAACACCTTTGTTTTTTGAGACTTTTGAGGATGATGACTGTTTTTATAAACTAGACTTGTTCCAAGTCAAATATGCCAATCGATAGAGCGAACACCGCTCTACAAAACTGCACATTTAGTTCTGGAACAAGTCTAGTTTATATAAACAACCTCTATCCTCAAAAGTCACAAAAACAAAGGTGTTTACATAAAGTAGACTTATGCCAATGTCTCAATGAATTCTCATCGATAATCCTGTACATGCTTTGTTTTCTTTAGATTTCTATTGACGTTATCACATTTCAGTGCTCGTTTTGAAGAATTAGACAATCATTTAGTTCTTCTCGCTGGTCGAGAATATTATCTACCGGTATTAAAAAATAGGAAAAAAGAAAATCAAAAAATATTATTTGTGACAAAAAAATCTGTTTCAATTATTTTATTTAACGAATATAGAACAACGACGTCAATTTGAACAAACATTCACAAATGAATCGAATACAGAAAAATTATACGCTGATTTACTTGCATGTATCCAAGATACGATCTTATCATCGTCTTAATCCTTCCTAATTTTGTCCTTATCCGGACCCTGTGATTTCTAGATTTATAAAATAATCAATATTCATCAGACGTCAAATCATGTTTTTTTCCCGTTCTGGTCTGTCGATAGAACTTTTTCTGCTAAATGTCTTTGCATGTGTGTGTACCTTTTTTTCGATTAGTAGTTCAACAGTGATTGCGCACAATTTATACTTATACATTATTTCCTTTTCTTTATGTGTTGCTGCTGTTATTGTTATTATTATTATTATTGGTGTTTATTATCTGTTATGTAACGCAAGCAAATCATTCTGTTGATTAAAAGAAAATCTTTATTTTAAATTTATTACATTTATCTTGACAATCAAGAGAAAATGAAATTTAATTAGCTGAGAAATATTATTTGTTTTGAATAAACAATCTATAAGATAATCCTATAGCACATTGAGTATATGAAATATAAAACAAACATCTCTGCAACACTACTTATATGACAATTATTGAAGATTATGTTTCAACGGAGAGATGAATCTATTAATAAGTTTTCATAACTTATTATTTTCCAAAAAAAAGCTTTACAAATATTGCAAAATTTTTTCTAGTTTAATATTAAGTGCAAGTCAACTAAACAAACAGTTGTTTTCAAGAAGGAAGAATAGCTGTAGCTATAGACAGTAGATTAGCCTGGTACAGTGTTCTTGCACTTAATTGCTTGAGCTCCCTCATATACACTAACTAACTACAAGAGTAGATCTCATGACTGACGGTACTGAGATTTGTACACAGTAGTCTTTTTCTCTTTGTGGTGGTGGGTTTCTTCTTCTATACTCTCTCCACTCTTCGTCGTGATATACATATAGAGTGAATACATATGTGTTTTAAAATTAGAAACATTTTTCGTAGAATTGTATCCGAAAAATTAAACCGGTAGCCAAAGAATTAATATTTATGCATCAATAAACTATGTACCTCATATTTTATTTATTGTTTTGTTATTATTTTATTAGAATAATAATTTATTATTCTTTATTATCTATGGTTATAATAAGTAATAAAATAATGAGAAATTATTTCATGTTTAGCTAATAAACAATAATAACAGCTCTAATATCATCAATACAATAAAAACAAAGAAAATCGATGATACAAACTAATAATGATTATACTCGATTTGTGGCAATTAATAGTAATAAAAATGAAGAGCAATGTAGGATCTTACTTCTCCATATGAAACACAAATTAAATAATAGTACTCATTCGAAAATCTTTAGCTTATTGGTTTGTTTGCATATTGATTAGTATTCACGTGTCTTTGATTAGATTGATAGTATATTATTGTTTGTTGCTATTGAATTCATTTAAAAGTCTTATTAGATAGTTACACAAAGAGACCACGTGAAGGAGTCGGAATTGTTTCATGCGAAAATGTCATTCATTTCACAAGTATTTCAATGAGTTTTGACAGAGATTATCGAGTAATATTATTAGCCCATTTATGCGCGAATCATAGAGCTGTTTTTTAATAATAATTTAATGTGAATGTTTGTTTTTGACTATGAACTAGAAGAAAAAGTTTTTCTTGTTCAAATGAATTCTTTCACTCTTGAATATAAAATGACAGTGTGATTATTTCAATTCCAAGAAGATAGATTTAAGATTTTACTCTACTACATCGTTTAATTATACTCAACAGTGTAAGAATGTCAAGAAAAAAGAGAATTTAATGCCATAACTTTTACTTCATACAATGGAAGTCTTCCAATTCATGAATCGCTTTTTGAGTTCGAACTATATGTGTCATATAGATCTTAATGACTTATGAATATCCTGAAAAGAGTTCATGTTCTTAGCTTTATTGTTGCAGGAGTATTGTATTCTTTCGGTATCTTTTAAGTCAGTGTCATCGGCTTACTTAGAAAAAGTACGAGACCTGTTTTTTAAATTTTTCTTTGAAAATTTCACAGACAGATGTCTTAATGAGAATAGCTAATTGCGAAAGTTTCAGATATTTTCGTTGTTTCTTATCTTGAAATACATCGTCTGTGGTAAAATTTGTCTTTTAAATTGGTTATCAACATAGACAGATTCGATGTTCCTATTTCAAGATACGAGCAAATAGAAAAAACCTGAAAGTTTCACAACAATATATTCTGGTTAAGACCCATCTCAATGCTAAGTTTCAAGTTGAAGATTGAATACCAGTTGCCAAACTGTTTTTAATACGAACAATGGTTTTGACTTTAACAAGAATGTTGTAAACGTCTAGCATTTTCGTAGCGATAAACAAACAACTCGAAATTTTCTCAGTTTATTCATAGCTTATGAGTATCGACATGTTGTATATAATCTTGATTCAAAAAACGATTCAACAGTTAGTAGAATTCATTCATTAAATAAAATCATTACTGTCGAGTAGTATATTAAACTCATCTCAGACCAATCGAGTGCTTCTTGAGATAAAGACAAAGATAATAAAATTTATTTGTGTATTCATCCGTTTAAATTCACTTTGAAGATTTTTTAACATAGTCAATGTTTAAGGCCACCCCCCCCCCCTCCAAAAAAGTCACTTTTCGTCAAAAAAATGAAAATTGAAATAAATGCATAGGAAGATAGCCCTTCTTCAGCTCTTTCAGAAACACTATAGTTTTTTTATCTAATGATGCGTTTTTGACCGAAAATTTTGATGATTTCTCGCATCGACTGCTTAAAAATACAGTTTTTTCAGAAAAAACCGAGTTTTTGCATATTTTTGTAGGAAATACGCATTTTAATAGAACGCATGGGCATTCTAATAACTTTCATCATGCTCTATAAAAAAATTTAAACGTGTCTAATAGTGATGAGAAAATGAAACGACTGATTAACAACAACAAAAAAGCTTTATTTGAAAAACTCTTTCATGTAAGATGATCATATATGAAAAAAACTGTTTAAAGGATTATAAATTATTCTTATTCTTTCCATAGTCTTTTGTCTTTTGGATTGTAATAGCCATAATCACTATCGTTCGTTTCACAACTGCTCTTAACATCACACTAACATAACCACAAATACACACATAGAAAGAAAACAAATAAATGAATCACAGGTTTTTATTTATATTTATAAGGCGCCTAAATATCAAAAGAAAAGAAAGAAAAAGAACGAAGAACAATACAAAGAGAAACATCAAAAACGACATGATCTAGTGTGATGGATACATGTCATCACAATCAATCGATTATTACGTTATTTTCTCCTCGCTCCCTTTCTCTCTGATGGCTTTTTATAAATTATAATTACTGTTTTTGTTTTTAGAATGTCAAGACATGCTTGCGATGAACAGAATTTTTAATAAAAAAAAGGCTGAGACAATTCACAGTTGATTTTAATATAATTTTGTCCGTCAAATCCACTAAACTCATGCCGTGGAAAATAAGTTCGACACACCACAAAAGAAGTTTATTTATGCGCATTTAAAAAAAATACGAAAATTTGTGATTATTTTCTTTAAATCTAACAAAAAATGCGTAAAATTGTGAAAAAATCGACTTCGAAAAATGTTTTTCGCTTTTTCTCGATTTATGGCTTTTCTGATGGCGTATCCAAAAGTTGTCTGTCAAAAATGATCTGATATATTGAAATTTTTTTTTTGTTGGAAAGAGCGTGTCAAGATGCAGTACATGACGTTGTCCTTTTTTCAAATTAAGTTTATTTTTCTTATAAATATAGGCACGCAGGTCTAAAAAAACCCCATTTTTAGGAAGTTTTTTAGTCCTTCAACTTGTTATTCACCTTATCCACATAAAAATCAAGAGATTAGAAAAAAAGGACAACGTCATGCACTGCATCTTGAGACGCTCTTTCCAACAAAAAAAAAATTTTAATATATCAAACCATTTTTGACAGACAACTTTTGGATGCGAAATCAGCTATTTTTCACCATTGTTGGGTTAATATCTCTGCCATAAAACGTGATATCGGGCTGAAAATTTTACCATAGCTTCCCCACTATATCCCCAACATACCCTGAAAATTTCAGCTCATTTGGATGATCCTAAGTCAGAAATCGATTTTGGAGGGGGGGGTGGCCTTAAATAATTTTATGAAGCGAGTCGAAAATGAACGTGGTCTATCAATAAGTAAAGCTGCTCCTCATCATTTCAAAATGGTCTCTAATAATAATAATACTAATGAATTCGATAATAATAATAATGATGATGATGATGATGATGATGATAACAATGATGATGATGATGATGATGATGATAACAATGATGATGATGATGATGATGATGATGATGATAACAATGATGATGATGATGATGATCAACATACTCAGCAACAAAAAACTGATAGTTTTTTGCCTGGCGGTGCCTTTGTTACAATGAAAAATCAACCGAATTCATTGCCACTTCAAATACAATCGGGAGGTGAAACAATAAATAATTTTATGAGGCGAGTCGAAATTGAACGCGGTTTATCGATAAGTAAATCTGATAGTGAACATATTGAAATCAAATATCCTGTTAAGAGAAAAGCAATATTAGATCAACGAAAGAAGAAAAGAGCTTTGCTCGCAAAAATTTTAAAATGACATTATCCTTATCAGAATTATTTATAGTATTATTCTAGATAAGCATGAAATTTTTTTGAAATAAAGAAAAACATAATTCATGACTTGCCAATATAAAACAGCGATTACTTTTTTTTTTCTATTATGACTGTCTCCTTTCTTGTTATTTCTATGAACAGCAACATTTGACTAAGGTTGAGAATCATATTTCAAAAGATTTTTAATGATAGAGCAAAATGCGAATATACCATGTTACAAATATTTCGATATGTTGAAATCATTGATTTTATCGTATTTTAGAAAAGAAAATTTCATGACGAGTGACATTCGATCTTTTACTTAATAACTACAGTAGTCGGCATCATGTGTATGGTTGTTCGGTGACATCATCACTGTCGAATCATTGATATTTTAAACAGAGACAAAGAAAAAGCGTTGAATCTAAGCAGTAAGCAAGATGATTCGTGTCTCGCAGAGAATAGACTGCTCTCCAATGTGTTCGAAAAAAAATATGTAATTATGAAGAAAACGACTTTGCTTATTCATATCAAAACACGACTTGTTTGAAACAAAGGAAAAACGATGACCAGTAATATCGATAGTTACGGTTTGATACGAGATGCACGCAGCGAACAAATACGTTTCGTTGGAGTTAAATTTGGATGTGGGCGTGGTCCTTCTCTTCATTAATATACACATCCGTACTTGCGGATTCCAATGACGCAATCCAGACGAGAGAACTAGATGAGTCTCATTAGTAAAATTCGATAAGATTTCCAACACTAGGGATCCAGGTATCATTCCGTAATCCGGTTTTGAATAATATTCCTACTTTTTCCCACCAGATCTTATAAATTTCTAATGGGATCTGATAAAACCGGAACTGTTGGAACCGAAAATTCCTTTAATGGCGACCAAAGAAACCATTCAAATGCAACGTAATCTTAAGTCAAAACGGTTTATGATCGCTGTAGTGGTACACTATGCATGTTTCTTACACTGGCATATCAAAGAGAGATCCAGAATGGGCAAAAACTTGTTGAAGATAATACAACTGAAACAAAAAGACAAGTGGTTGAGCAGCAATTTTCTACGATCTCCTATAGAAACTAAGAACAATCCATTACTACAACAACAAAAAAGTTTAAAATGAGTGGCAGAGATGGTATTGTTTTTGGCGATCATGATTATGAGAAAGATAAAGAAAATGATGTAATAGAGTGTTTTTAGAACTTGTGTAATATAAATAATTTCATATGAATATATTGTATTAAAGTGCTTTTCCTCATTCTTTCATCTTTTCTTTTACTTTTTCCTAGCCGGAACCGTCGGTTTCGATTCCAGCTCTGGATAATTTTTGGAATCGTAAGGCTCCAGGTAATGGCAACCCAATATACCTAGCTTCTTTGATTCAAAGCAAATATCATAATAATGAGTTTTCATCGATTGTCAAACTGTTCCGTGGTGATTTTTAATAACGATTTCTAGCCCTCCTATTTTAGATATTTGATTTATTAACAAAGAAGCATATGCGTAGGTATGACTTCAGAGAAAAACCAAATTTGAAACATGAATTGTAAGATATGAATGTTTTTCCTTTGATTTCTTTCTTTGTCGATCGTCTTGTCATTTACCTATGTGGAATTGTATGTTATATTGATTCTTTGAATTTTTATTATTTGTTTTATTCTTGCAGAATAAAGTAAGCAATCATTTTCTGAATAAAAATATTCATTTTCATGAATTAGAAGGAGAAACTTCTCTGTATCACAGTCTGAATCGAGATTACATGAACAAAATCAATTTTATTATCTACCTAATGAAGAATAATTATCGATCATAAAACTACAATTTAACACGAGAATTATTGACTTATCGCGTTTCAGATCATGACTAGTTGCCAATTTTTCAGCGCTTTCGAGAACTAGAGATACATGATCTGACAATTAAACAGCGGTAACAAGTCTGTTGCAATTATTTATTGTTCTGTCCTGGTAAACTCGAAGTCGATTTTTTTAATCATCATATTGATTTAGTAATTCTTTTTTGTTTGTATTAAGCTAGCAAAAAAAAAATAACTGTCCAGTTACAAAACAAGTCTAGAAGGAATAAAAGCTGAAACACACCCATGTTGCCCTTTTTTTTAAAGTAACGCCGTTATATCGCCAAAACCGCATAAAGCGGCGCTATTCAGCAGAATACCGTCGCTATCATCGCATTATTAATAGCAGTGCAGCAATATATTGACGTTATAACCACACTAAGCTTTCACGCTGAATAACGCGCAATAGTGCTGAGCGTTAAAGTTTTCAATTTTTCAAGTATAACTGATCAACAAATACGCTGATCTATAGCTAAAGTTCTACGATGATGTTATTAATTATTCAATGTTTTTTTTTTGCATTATATATATAATATTTAAATAAGTCGAACAACTGGTTTTATTCGTAGCAATAAAATATTAATAGCTTCCACCAAGTGATTGTTTGTTTTTCAGTGCTAGATGTTTTATTGGTATCTACAGTACGAGGTTAATTATTAGCAATTACCGTAACTATAACAATAAAAACTAACAATGCGCAAAAGGACAAAAAATATTAATTATGTAGTGTCTTATTTACGCATTATTTTAATTCTTGTTATTATTTATAAAAAGACAAATATTGGCAGCGTGAAAGGTTCATTTAATGACATTTTGGATTGAACACAAAATGTTACAAGTATCGACAAAACAAATAACTCTATTCGTACTAGATACAATCATTTTAATTTTTCTACTTTTTAGTTTCATATTCATCGTAATGGCCGTATAGCAATTATATTTTTATATTTTGATTCGCAGCTGATTATAACTCTGTCATTTTCAGTTACTCTATATCATCATAATTTACATTTATTTTTGAAACGTTTAATTAAGAGACATTTCTATAGAATAGTCTCTCTCTTCTTCAGTTTTGTCGATAAATTACATAATTACACAATTACAACGTTACACATGTACAGTTGTTTATGTATGTATACTTTTCAATCTCTTTTTCTTATGGACATATTACGGAAGAAGATGAACTTTGACTCATCTCGTCCGTTATTAACGTTTTCTTTTTTCTCTACTCTTCTTATGAATAAAAAGAAAACAAATGTTTATGTCGACAATGATATAGTCGTATGTTTGTTATCATGTTTTTATTGTAAAGCATCAATGAAAATAGCTAATGTTTTCAACACTGCGGTAATTTCTATATTTCATAAATGAAAAATAAGATAGAAAATATTACATAGCAATAGAATATGTAATAAACAATGAGAAAACGACTAGTGAGTGACGAGTTCATGGCTGTCGAAAAGAAAACGAAAAATAAATATTAATGATTACTTGCGTTTGTAAAAGAAAAAAGAATAGTTCTTTTTTTTATAGATTAATTTCGTATATGAAAACAATATCATGCATGATAAATAATTTAAATTGCATATATTTAACAGTGGCAATGACATAGCCTGCGGAATTTTTCTGATCATTTTCATTTGAAGCTTGATCTATCGTTTGATAAAAATTCAGAGTTTTTTGCTTCTATTTCTCTATATTTTAGATGTAATTTTTTTCAACATTCAGGCGTTATTGCTGCTAATCATAATGGTTTTTCATTTGATGTCGTAAGTACATCGTCATTCTACGACTCTTGATTATTAATTTAGATGTTTACACAATCTACTGTTAATTTAGTTATTCATATTCAAAATTTGATACTAATGGAAAGGTCAACTATTTAACTGAATCTTTGGTATGTTTATCATAAAGCCTATATGATGATAAAATGGACTTGGACAAATGCTCATAAGTTAGATTAAACAAAATTTGGTAATATTTTATTTTTATCAATCGATCTTGTATTAAAAATGTCTTATCTTCTTGCAGATACTTCATACACGCTATAACTAATTGATGATTCATTGGGATTACGTTTCAAAGACAAAATTCAACGATTCATATCTTGATAAACAGAATAAAGGCTTACAAAACAAAATTTTCAAAGCAATTTTGTGTACTTATTCGTAGCTTTAAAAACATTATTGTTTTTTTGTACCAATGTTCGTTCTTTGTAAATAATATGTAACAATTATAATAGTTATTATTTTTAAATTCTTTTATAGTCAAATAAAAGCTTAAGACTACCAAGGCTATGTTAATCGTATTTTGCAATTGCATCTATCAGTATAATAAACAAGATATACTGAGAGGGGGTTGTATATTTAAGTATTGAAATACTACAAGCTGTTCAACATAGTGCGTAATATTTATCTATGTTACCGTGATATCGCGCTATGGTGGACATAGCGGAGCGCTAAAAGGGGTCACAGTGCGATCGCAATAGCGGCGTTATAACGTCGCTATTTAATCGCTTTCGACAACATGGGTGAGCATTGTTATGATTTGGATCGACATTGAGATCAAATAAAAAATATTGAAATACTTAAAAAATCTGTTTTTTTTCTGAAAATACAGAAGTTCAATTCTTTGTATTTCAATAATTAAATTAGAACAATAAAAATATTTTTGTAAACTATCAGAAGGGAATAAATTAAATCAATCTTTTTAACTTGCAAAATTTCTTTGAATATATTATGACTTGATTTGATTTGTATCGAAAAATTATTGACTTGCCGATTTGCATCATCAATAAATTTCTTTCATCAGAGTTTTTTCAATCTATTTATTCTCAACATAACAATTTTCTTTTCTTTAGAAACTAAATGAACATTTAATTTATTAATATAAATGAAAGCAAACAATATTCTATGTTGAAGAATGAAATTATAGTTTATATATTGCTTGAGAAGTATTCGAAATCATCATTATATGGTTCATATAGACATTTGGATGTAAATGAAATTTTAAAATAAGAGGTGTTTATACCCATTATTGCTCTAATAGAAAAATAGTAATTAAAATTACCAATGATTTAATTCAATAAAAAAAGAATGAAATACTTACATGTAAGGAGAATATTGTGCAAACACCAGCAATTTGAAAAATACTGGAAAAAATCAAGAGAATCAAAAAACTCTCTAAATCATAAATTATTGAGATACAAAATACGTTGCATCGTGTATTGAATAGACAATAAACATTCACGATAGTGATGAAACAATTTAAAAACTATACATCGATTGCATGAAGGATGCGGTTTCATTCATTCCAAAGCTGCTTCTAATTAATAACCATTTCGAAATGATTCAGTGTTTTACTAAAAGACAAAAAAGAAAGATATTCAATAGTTTATAATTTGTCATCAAATATTTTATATGTACAAAAAATAAGAAACAAGAACTTTAAGGTTTAGTTTATATACTATCAACATATGTCATTATTCAAATCTATTCAAATATCTAATCAACCAACGAAAAATAAATATCATTGTCTTTTGCTACTATTATTAAGATAAATATTGTCCTAAGGCAGTCTTTTAAACTCGATATTAACAAGCTTTCAGAATAGTCATTCATCTCATAATTAGTCTAATTATAATTCTAAACTTAAAATCAGTTTTCTTCGGAAGATATTTCACTCTCAATTGCTGTCACTTTCCTATGCTTATTATCATTATACTGACTGCCTTTAAAATCTATCATAAAGATGGATTGGAATAAAGCCGAAGTACAAATATAGTATATAATCTACATAATAATTACTCGTGAGGAAACCAGTCGATGTGATATCTCGGTTTGCGGTAAGATTTCAGTCATTGCATAGAGTCTGTTGAGATTAGGAGAAACCTAGAAGGATTCTTTTCCATGTGCTACCCTTTTGGAATAATGACCCTTACATTGGATATTTTACTATTGACACGGACTTTATAAACCAACTGATCTAATGAATTTTGGCCTAAAATTTTGTCCATGAACAGCTCTTGAAGTCATTAGAATCTTTTAAACATGTCAGCCAAACAGAGTGATTTCTTCTCGAGATATCAAACCCACAAAAAAAACTAGAGTTTTCGTCGTTTTGGTGTATTATCAAGTCTTTTTTTGTGAATTTGATATCTCGAGAAGAGATCATTTGTTTTTGCTGAAATGCTAAGCAGATTCTAATGACTTCAAGAGTTATTCATAGAAGACAAAGTTTGGGGCCAAAATTCGTTTGTCCGGCTTTTTCTATAAATTCTGTACCAATGGTAAAAACTTCAGTGTAATGGTCATAACTCCAAAAGAGTAAAACATGGAGAAGAATCTTTCTAGGCATGTCTCCTAGTCTAAAAAATCTCTACATAATCACTGGAGTCTTATCGAAAATGCGAGCTATTACATCGGGTATTTCCCTCATCGGTAACAACGATCAGGAGTATAGTAGTGTATTTCTATTTCTATACTAGCGTTTGTAAATCAAGAGAAACATAGCAGACTTTATAGATTTTAAATTCTAGCAATTTACTATTTCTAGATATGATTTTAAACATGAAAAAAGAAACACAATAACAACTTCGCACAACAGATTTTTTCTTTTAATTTTTAGAAAATTTAATCGAAAATATTTTCTGATTTATTGATAAACTTACACGTTCAATTATTAACTTCTTCCATAAGATGATATTAAAATAGCTTTGCCATAAGCAGGTATTTGTCGAATATAATTACCACCATTATCAGTATCATAAATAATTGGTACGCTTCACAAGAGTAAGAGTTTAATTCATAAAACGTTATTCATTATTTTTGCACTCAAATTTAAATATTAAAAATGGGTACGAGGTGAAATTTACTATCATTAGTATAGAACATTACACAGTTTTGTAGATTAAATGAACTGTTCAAATTTTGCAACTTATATTTGATTAAATAAAAAATGAAGTTGCTTCATTGGACGGTGAATCATATAATTAGATCCTTGAAGATATTCCAGTCAGATAATAGAATAGTGAACTTTGAATATGCATTACTTTTAACGTTATTATTCATTCGAAGAAAAAAGTTTTTCGAACTTTGCCAATTGCGTTGCTATTTGGTTGTCTGTCAAATAAATAAAAGCAAAAACAAAATATTATTTCTAAATAATAATGATAATGATTAAAAGATGTTTGTTGAAATGAATATTTTATTACAATGATACCAATAGAGTTCATAATTTTTAGACATCGAAAGATCAATACTAGTCTTGAAGCTCGTCATGAAATCTTCTTATCTCATTATTTAATTGAGTGAATTTTTTTCCTGTGCTTCACTATATATTAGAACTCGTTCTAAAAACTTATATCATTTTAGATAAGATAAATAATCTCGAATAATAACTTATCAATATGTAAATATTATCTTTCCTTAATATTTATCATTGATTTGATTTTAATTCTCATTCTTACTAAAAAAATTTAATTGATAATTACTTATAGAAATTCATAAAGCTGATAAATGTCGCTGGACATATGTATGAATTGTTTATAAAAACGAATGAAGAAATCCATTTGGTACATTTATTTAAACAATGTAATTCCATTGATTGTTGGCGATTCCAAGAAAAACTTCCCTGTATGTTTTTTTAATAAGAATTTTTTTTTATAAATATTTTACTAATAAATGAAAATTATATACCTTCGTCTCCTATTTCTTATTGTATTACTTGTATTCTTACAAATGCAATTGCTTGGTATAGTATTTATAGCAGAAAAACGAATTTTTTTCTTACTTGCCGTCGAAGGAAGTAAAAAGTGTTTCGAATGTTTATTGCCAGTGTTTACAACGAAATCGTGTATAATGCTGCTACTAAAATATAGATACTAATAAATTTTAGTTAGCGAATAAGAAATAATTACAATTTGCAATGTCATATGTGTATGTTTGCATTCATACGATCGCTGGATCAATAATAAAAAAGAGAAAAAATAAATGAGATATATATGTTCATTCAAGCATAACGAACATGTGAGAACGTTTTTTTCTTTTTGCACTTTTTTTTCTAGGTAAATATAATGAAGGACTTATCGGAAATTTATCTGATAGCATTTTTTCGTTTACAAAATAAATATATTCATCTGAATTATCATGTTCGCATAATCTTATATTAACATCTCAGTTTTTCTATAATAATTGATTTTCATATAATATTCATTTAGAAAAAAGTTATTTGCATGTAAAAAAACATTTTTATTAAACTTTGAAAGGAAAAAAATAAGTAACAATAATAAATAAAATACGTAAAGCAATAATTAAATCACATTGAGATCTTCCTCTGAGAATAGTTTCTAATCACTGAAAATTCTGTTAACATACAATATGAAACAGACTATCAATTTTTTGAAACACGATCGAAAATCAGTGTTGAAATATATCATGTTCCTCATTTTAATCCCGTATGGATTGTTTCGATTCATATAAGAAAATTTATTAATACATATCTATTCGAGGCCAAAATGTGAAACTCATATATCTGCTTTAGTTGAATTGTTCTGGTTCTGATAAATGATAGTTGTCATTCAATGATAGTATTTTTCACTGTCGACAATAGTTCGATTCTCATATCTTAAACGGGATTTTTAAGAGGAGAAAATTCTGAGCAAAAATTTCAGTTTAAGTTATTCTTTTAGTCTTGTTGAGGAAGGTTGTTGTGAATAACTTTTCTATGTTTTTTTTGGCGACGATTGTTACCGCAATGTAGATAACTAAATGACAGTTAATTGTTTTCTATTTCTATTTCGTTTTCTTTAACTTATGATGACTTTTATTTCTTTTGATCATTAACCTAACTGCCAGCTTTGCTATTGTTCATCGCCTAAAGTTTAAATTTAATTATGTCAATCTTTTTTGTGTCAATTACATGTCATCTAGTAAACAATGACTTATCTATCGAAAAATCAAACCTGTTCAAAAGTACGATAAGATATGTAAAGTAAAATAGACAATCCATTGATGTACTTACACAAATCGAATCAAATAAGAATTTCTTTACAATCAATTTTTTTTATCAATACTAAATCGATTATGATCCTGTCGACGAATATCACTTCTTTTAGTCTTGCTTCTTGATTTTGCTTTGATAGATATAATTTATAAGGTGTTTCGCTCAAAACAAAAGAATATTTAACTGTAATCTTTGATATGAATTCGATCCCAAGCAACTTCGAAATTTACTCCTCACACATCTCTCCTGGGAACATATCAGATCATCATAACCATTTCAACAGTTAATAGATACAGCGTCGCTTAATAGGATTATCAATTTTTATTCAAAACAAAAATAAAATTTACAAAAAAAAATTTATGATTAAATCAATTATGTGACGAATTTTTTTCTCTCGCAATAAGATGTCTTCTTTATTAAATTTTTCCATTGTAATATTTAAGTACGCATGTTTTGTCATTAATCTTACTTCTATTTTAACATATATATTATGTTCAAATAAGTTTATTACTATTACTCCTTATGCTATTCTTTTTTCGTTGCTGTTGATTTTGATCTAAAAAATGTGAAGATATTTGATTTTTTAATAAAATCCAATCAAACATATAATCATATTGATAATTAAGACGATAAGATAAATTACGAAATATTTGACGTATATAAAAATAATCAGGTTCATCTGTATATTGTAATCGACGACAATAATTTAAATACATTGAAAATTCAGGTGAAAATCCTGCACAAAGATTTGTTATTGATATTGACATTTTTAATTCACATATTTTTTCATATTTTTGTCGTTTATTTAATGCTTTTATGCCTTGCCATGGTAGTGTACCTCTGATAAAATAAATTTGATAAATCTATTCTAAAAAAAAAAGAAACAACAAAGACTAACCGACTGAAATAAATAAGAACATAAGCAAGTGCTTCCATATCATCACGACGCGATTGTTCAATACCAAGATGTGTTGAAATCTTAGAGAAAGACAAAAACAAAAACTCAACTCTCTAGAAGAAATTCACAAAAAGATAACATACAGATACATATCGAGGTGTACCTGTTAAACTTTTGCCTTCTTTATATGATATATGTTTATTTAAACGATGATCAAAGAATTTTTTTGCTAAACCAAAATCGATGAGAAATATCTAAAATTATTCAATTCTGCATCATTTCTACTTTCAGAAAAGTTCAATTCATTATTCGAAAGATTTTTTATAAGAATATATATAAAGAACATCTTTGAAATTTTTAATAGAAATCAAACATTCACATTTCGAAAGACTGTATGATATTCAATTAAACGTTGTAAATCAATTCGCTCGAGAGATACAACATCGATGACAATCGATCCACTGATAATCGATATTCATCGGTATAAGAGAAAGAAATTATTGTTACCAGACAGTTATATTATCGAATAATGGAAATTAAGTAAGTTTGGTTTATTTGTGATTTTTTATAAAGCTTAATCGGAGGTTACAGAGTCGATGAATTTCGATCTCAAACTGATTTTTCAAATTTTACGACTTTTGTTTTCTGAGGCAAATCATCTGTAGATTTAGATTCCTGAACACAGAACATCTCAAACGAACTTTGAAAAGAAAAAACGTTATTTACAACAAGCGACATGTCTATTCATATGAGCAATCAAGTAAACAAAGGTTCTATTATTATCGTGTTTTTTGCGTCATATCTCATCGTCATGTACTAAATCGGACTTGTAACTATGCAACTATACTTCACGTTTTTGGTTTGAAGAATAATTCAATTTTATTTTCTATCAAAATCATTTTGAACTGAGTCTTGAAGAACTTAAACTTTTAATTTTATGATCCGTCTTTTTCTCAATCTTTCATACTATTATCAGAATTTATATCCGATTCATAAGAAATAAGCAGTCCAAATTACCACTGAATTCTATTACAATTATTAAATATAGAAAAGAATATTAAAGTAATGCAAATCATCTTCAAATTTAATAAAGTGAATAGTGATTATGTATTAGTAAGTATCTTTTATAAATTATCTCTAGCAGAATATTTCCTATCGATCATTTTTTGTTATCAGTATATATTAAAATGACTTATATTAATCAAAGAGTTTTTTATGAACTGACCTTGGTCGAATCTTTTCCAATACCAATAAGAAAATTATCTGGTTTAATACTAAAATGAAAATCCAACATAAACATCTATTCATTATTCACTCACTCTCGATGAAGATAAAATTTTCGATGAAAACATTCTATACGTATAATCATTTGATCAGCTAACATAAGAATAGTTTTCAATGAAAATTCTCGTTTACATAAATAAAAAAGATCTTCTAATGATGGTCCCAAAAGTTCTATAACTAAACATTTATAATCACCTTCTTCGCCAAACCTATTAATATTTTTTACTCTTTTGTTTATTACTATTTATCTTATCTTACCAAAATAATTTTGGAATACCTTGTATATCTTTCATTAATTTATATAATTTAGCTTCAAATGCTAATTGTTGTGAATAAGCATTATTTGCTTCTAGTTTAATAGCTACATATTCACCAGTTTGAATATTTAATGCTCGATAAACATCACCAAATGAACCTGAACCTAATTTACGTTCTAATTGCCATTGATTAGCAATTAATATATTATTATTTTTATTATTATTATTATTATTCATAATTTTTTTTTCATATTTTTATTTTTATTTAAATTAAAATATTAAACTAAGGAAAATTAGATGATATTTATTTAAATGAATAATATGGCGCATTTTTCTTTTCATGAAAATACTTGAAACTAGTAGTTATCTCTATTCAATTTTTTTCAACAAATATTTAACTTGATTTTCTTTCGATGACGTATTATGTAGGATGACAAAAATACAAATATTAATCAGAACCATGAGAGTTACAGTAACAAATGTACTGAGTTCCGAGTGTCCATTGGCTGAAATAATTTCAGCAGAGTATTCAAAAAGTACCTTGTTAACAGAACGCTATAGGTAGTTGATCGAGTATCCTGTTGAGCTTTGTCTCAGTACATAAATACTCCGTAAGATATCTAGTTGGTAACTTAGTAGGTAAACAAAGCTCTATATTGAAATTTTTTTTTAGAGGTCAGCTAATTAAGTAGACAGAAGCATGTTTAATTATCTTAAGAAAGATGTGAGTTTTTATTGAAACTTTTAAGGTTATCTTATGACTATAGAGTCTATTTATATGTGTGTCACAGCTAACATGAGAATTCAATTGAATTCGGAATCAGCGAATTAATTTAAAAGATACTCTTAGAACGAGATTTATAACAGAAATCATACTTAATAAACCAGGCGAACGAATTATTTTAGACAAGAGTTCACAAAATAAAGTCACATAAAACATCATCAGTAAAAAAACATTTCATGTTTCCCCTGGATTTTTTTCTTTTATTGTGAGAGTAATACTCTGAATACATCTCTGTTGTGATACACTCAAAATATCTTTTATTGCAGAATTACAAAACCCTATGCCAAGCTCAACTAAATTCTAGACTTATTTGCCACATGCTTTCCAAGCTCCTATACGTTACCTAAGCAGAAAATGGATAATTTATAGAATGAACTGACAAAACTACGAATAAGAACTACAAAACAACATTGATAGACGAAATAATACATTTTGTCAAAGGAATTGAAAAAGAAAAAGAAAATCTATATTCTATACTTGATTTCACTGTATGATTACATTTGATCCGTTAAATATAGTATATTACTTTGTGTAGAGTTTCAAGCGGTATCTTTCGATAAAAACTTAGGTCAATGATTCTGGCACTAGGGTTCCTGAATTTCCGGCAGATTCACACCGAAGAACTCAGGATCTGGGTAAGAACTTGTAAGCAGAAAGATTCAATTATCAGATTCCTATTTCCAAGTTCCTATCATTTTTTGGTCGAAAACGGCTAGTATCTCTTGATCTGGAAAAAATAGTTTCAATCAAACAAACAAAAAAATCTATAGGTGAAGTTTTGAAAATACTAAAAATGCAATTATTTACGGAGCTACCCGTTATTTTTATTTGATCATGAAAAACTTTACAAAAATGAATAAAAACATTATTTTGACATTGTGTTTTTTTAAATCGAATAGTTTATGTGTAATTATGACGATGTTTGAAGATAACAAAATATTGGCGATGATATTATATCTAATGTTCGTTGACAATTTGTATATACTATAAAACCATCAATTATAATTTGTCTTTTTTTTATTTGCATATCAATAATAGTTTCAAATTTTGATGCATCAATAACGATAAGTACCTTATCATCTTGAAAAAATAATGTACCCGAATAAAATATTCGACATGGAGGTACTTGTTTTGTTAATACAAAGTAAACAATCTTAAGAAAGAAATAAAAAATTTTTTTTATTTACCTTGAGTCATTGGTAACTTTCTCAAACAACTATTTAGATCAGCAAATAAGAAAAAAAAATAACAATAAATGAAATATTCTAGTCAATTTCCGGTACTTCCTTTCGTGGCCAAAACTTTTTGTTCTTTTTTTTTATTTTGCATGACCATTATTTAGTCTGAAGTAGTGTCTATCTATTGAGTGCATTTTGGAATCCAAAAATTGCTTTTTAAACGTTGAAAACTTTGAGAAGAAATTAAACTAGCGAAAACTATACATTGTTTCGAGTTTTTCTCAACATTTAAATTTTAAACAGAAAAATTGATTTTTTTTCTTCGAAACACTTTGACCAATTGAGCTGAAATTTTTTGTGCAACAATTAGAATCAAATCAGGGTGTATATGCATTTTTTTTCTTAATGTAGTATTCTGGTGATTTTCGGTAGATCTTACAAAAAAAAATGAATTATGGCTGTATGCGGAGAAACTTCAGATCATTTTTGGCTCTTGTATCTCTTATATTTCATAGAAGGAAGTATTCGAAAATTCTAAGTCTACGACAACTTTTGCTCTACTAGTCAAAATCTGTCTACTCTGAAAGTTTCAGAATTTTTTAATCGTACCCTTCTTGAGAAATTCTCCAAAGGAGGTGAGGTATTCTGAAACATAAAAATAGTTTGATTCGATGCGGAATTTGAACTTTCATTTGTAATTATCGTATGCATTGTGGATGGTACAGATGTAGAAGACGTTTCAGTAAATGACATATTCACATTTAATACTGATGCATTCATAGTAGATTCTTCATTTGATAAATATACAGTCGTAGAATTTGACGTATATGGAATTATTGGCACTGATGATGTCAGTACTTGCGATGGTTTAAGAGCTAAATAATTTTTTTTCAAAAAAGAAAAACTTAATTAATTATCACATGATTACTTGTATAAGGTAATACATCCATCGAGCATAAATGTAATTCTCTCGATACATTTTCAAAATCAATTAATAATGATGGAACAGATTGAAATTATTTATAAAGGATGTGGGCGGGAATGACCATTTTTTGTCCCAAACCTTTTTTAACTTTCAATACTCTGAAATGTATCAAGGAGTTATTGGAAGTATTTCATGCTACTTAGTCTTGCATCTTTTCTTACTTAAGGCCCCCTTTGATGACCCCCCC